ATACATTTGGTATTATTATCCTGGAACTAAAGCCAGACAAATAGTACTGGTCAAGCATCTCTACTCCAAAAATCCAAAATTCAGAATGCTTCAATGAGCATTTCCTTTGAGTATGACCTTTGAGTACTGTCAGCCCTCAGAAAGTTTTGGATTTTGGAACATTTTGGATTTAGGATTCTCGGATTAGGGCTGCTTAGTCTGTACAAGAAGACCAATATTCCTGATGAATACTGATGCAGTACTGTTGTGGATAGAAGACTTAATATTGTGAAAATGTCCACACTGTCCAAAGCAATCTGCAGAGTCAGTGCAGCCTCTGTCAAAATCTGTATGGTGTTTTTTGCAGAAACAGATAAAACCACTGTAAAATTCATATGGAATCTCAAAGGAGCTCAAATAGCCAAAGCAGTCTTGAGAAAGAAAAACAAAGCTGGAGGCCTCACACTTCCTGATTCCAAAGCATATTACAAAGCTATAATAATCAAAACAGTGTGGTGCTGGCATAAAAACAGACATATAGACCTATGGCACAGACTAGAGAGCCCAGAAATAAACCCACATGTGTATAGTCAAATGATCTTTGATGAGTGTACCAAGATCTTTGATGAGTGTACCACTACAAAATGGAAACAGGGTAGTTTCTTCAACAAATCCTGTTGGGAAAACTGGATATCCACACTCAAAAGAATGAAAGTGTACCATATACAAAATTTAATTAAAAATGTATTAAAAATAAGAACTGAGAATGTGAAAGTCATAGAAGAAAATGGGAAAAGCTTCATGATATTGGAATTAGCAGTGGTTTCTTGAATATGACATCAAAAGCACAAGTAACAAAAGCAAAAACATGTACATCCAACTTAAAAAACTAAAAAAGTAAAAAACATACATCCAACTTAAAATCTTCTGTACAGCAAATAAGTGATCATCAGAGCGAAAACATAGCCTAAGGAATAGGAGACAATATTTGTAAACCATATATCAGATAAAGGGTTACTATTCTGAATATACAACTCAGTAACAAATAATCTGAATAAAAAATGGGCAAAACCTGAATAGGCATTTCTCCAGAGAAGATACATACATGGCCAGAAGGCATGTAAAAAGATGCTCTACATAATAATCATTATGCAAATCAAAACCACAATGAGCTATCATCTCAGACCTGTTAAGATGGCCACTATCAAAGAAAAAACAGGAGATAACAAGTGTTGACAAGGCTATAGAGGAATTGGAACCCTTGCACACTGTTGGTAGGATTGTACAATGCCACACCCTCCTATGGAAAACTTAGGAGGAAGTATGGAAGTTCTTCCTAAAACTGAAAATAGAACTATCATATGATCCAGCAGTCCCACTACTGGGTATATATTCAAAGAGAATGAGATTAGGATGTTAAAGAGACATCTGTACTCCCCTGTTCAGTGCAGCATTATTCACAACAACCAATATATGGAAGCAACCTAAGTGTCCATCAGTGGATGAATGGATAAAGAAAATATTGTATATACATACAACGGAATATCATCCAACCTTAGAACGAAGGAATTCCTGTCATGCTGCCTCATGGTTGAACCTTTAGGACATTTTGCTAAGTGAAACAAGCCAATCACAAAAAGATGAATACTTGTATAATTTCTGTAATATGAGGTATCTAAAGGAATTAAACTCATAGAAACAGAAACTAGAATGGTATTTGCCAAGGCAACGAGGACTTGTTGTTCTGTCAGTGTAGAATTTCTGTCACATGTGGTGAAAATGTTCTGGTGATCTGTTGTACAAGAGTGTGCATATAGTTAAAATATTGTGTTATACACTTGAAAATTGTTGAGGTAAGTTTGTTAGTTTTTTACTACAAAAAATCTACAAAAGGTCTATAAGCATACAAAACAAAATGTCATCAGTGGTTTTCTCTGGAAGGAGAATACAGGTTTTAAGTTTTTGCTTTTAGGTTTATTGTAAAATTGTTTAGTATTAAAATACAAACAGACCCTCCTTTTTTGGTTATATTTATATTACTAAACCTTTTTCTAAAACTAGATTATACCTTCCATTGTAGATCTTTGAGCCAGCTATTATCTTTAAAATCGTACCCTGTTAAACCCCATCTTTTTTTTTTTACTTGAAGATGTCATTCTTCAGATCTCATTCTTCTGTAGTGACCAAGAAAAAGAACATTGTATTTCACTTTGTATCTAGTTTTGTCGTCAGAACACTGAGCACTGTATACAAATTCATCAATGAGTATTAACTGTTACATCCACAAAGTCAGCCAGTACTCCAGAGTTTATTTAAGTATGTGTTCCGCAGACTGAATTCAAATGACTAGAGAACTGATTTTGTGTGGGCTTTAATACTGAACTTTTTGCTAAGTCAAGAATAGCTTTTAAGGAAGATTTTGCAAATGTGAGCTTTATTTATGTATAAATACTAAGTCTCAAGGTGCTTTAATTGTTATGTGGTGAATAATAGAGCAGTGCAAAATATTATATTTACTTAGTACTACCCTTGCATTTCTAATGAAGACTATTTCAGTGGGATATTTATCACCCCAATTCCATGAAGCCATTCCAGTTTACCAACAACCCTATCCTGCTAAATCCAGTAGCAATTCTCAGTTCGTTCTACTTGACCTTTCAACAGTATTTGTCTGTCTGTCTGTCTGTCTATCTCTCTATCTATTTGAGGTAGGATCTTGCTCTGTTGCCCAGGCTGGAATGCAATGGCACGATCACTGCTCACTGAAGCCTCAGCCTACTGGGTTCAAGTGTTCCACCGCAACCTCCTGAGTAGCTGGGACTATAGGCTCACACAACCACGTCCACTAATTTTTGTATTTTTTGTAGAGAAGGGGTTTCTCCTCTCTTCCTTTCACATCCCATACAGTCAGTCCATCAAGTTTTGTTAGCTTTGCTTTCAGATTCTATGATTAATCTGATCACTTCTTATGACCTCCTCTACTACCACCCTAGATGTGCTGCAGTAACTTCCTAACAGGTTTCCTTCTGCTTTTGCTCCCCTGTACTCACATATTTGCTAGAATAATCTTTAGCAAAAGTAAGTCAGAGCATGTTACTCTCTTGTTGAAACCTTCCAATAACTTCCCAACACTCTGAAAATAAAATCCAAAGCTCTTGCTATAACCTACAAACCACTACTCATTTTGGCTCTTAGCTGTCTTACTGACTTCTCTACCCCTTCTTCGCCTTTTTCTTTCTTTCTTTCTTGAGACAGGGTCTCACTCTGTCGCCCAGGCTGGAGTGCAGTGGCGCAATCTCATCTTGGCTCACTGCAACCTCTGCTTCCAGGTTCAAGCGATTCTCCTGCCTCAGTCTCCCAAGTAGCTGGGATTACAGGCATGTGCCACCGCACCTGGCTAATTTTTGGTATTTTTAGTAGAGAAGAGGTTTCACCATGTTAGCCAGGCTGATCTTGAACTCCTGACCTCAGGTGATCTGCCTGCCTCAGCCTCCCAAAGTGCTGGGATTACAGACGTGAGCCACTACGCCTGGCCTCTTCACCCCTTCTTTTTATTTATTTATTTATTTATTTATTTAAAGACAGGGTTTCACCATGTTGGCCAGGCTGGTGGTCTTGAACTCCTGACGTCAGGTGATCCGCCTGACTCGGCCTCCCAAAGTGCCGAGATTACAGGCGTGAGCCACCATGCCCGGCCTCTTCACCCCTTCTTACTCTGCTGATACCACACTTGTTTTCCTGTTACTTCTTGTCCATGCCAAGCTTGTCCTGCCCCAGAGCTTTTACATATGTTCTTCCTTTTTCCTGGATTTCTCTTTTTCCTGATAATTTATGGGTCTCTCTGACTTAGTTTAAGCATCAGCTCAGGTCACTCCTCAGAGTGGTCTTCTCGCTTTACAACATGATCTTCCCTTCTAAAATAGCCACACACCCCATCACACTCTGTATTTTCATCTCTGCTCCATTTTACTGTGTAACCTTATACATTATAGGATATGTTTAAATGTTTGTTGATTGATAGTCTTCACCAGTAAGCTTCATGAGGCCAGGAGCTTTGTTCATTACTGTGTTCCCAGTGCCTAAGATGGGACTTGGCACATACTCATTAAATATTTGTGGAATGACTGAATATTTATTTAGTGATGTAAATAAGTAAATGACATTTATTTAGTGCCAAATGAAGTGCTACGGTATTGTAGATAAAAAGATACGAACTCTACACTGAAGAAGAGAGGCAGATGTGCAAACAAGTAACTATAAAGCAGTATGATAATTGCTTTCATGAAAGTGTATGTATGTAAAGATGGGTGTCTAGTGGAAACTTATAGGAAATACCTTAGAATATCAAGGAGAGTCAGTAATGAAGTTATAGAAAAGGTAACCTTTCACGTGAGACTTGAAGGATAAATAGGAGAGTATCAGGCAAACATCCAACTTAGAAAATAGTATGCTTCAAACCACAGAGGTATGAGAGGTCAGCTGGGCATGTGTCTAGTACTACTAGACACTACTACTTCTGGTTCTAGTACTAGAAGTTGGAGTTGATGGACTATGAAGCCTGAAATTAGGAGGAGCTAGAGATGAGACTGGACAGATAGGAAGTTTTGGGGGTGGTAATGGAGCTAAATTATGTAGGACTGTATTTGTTATGCAAGATACTTTAAAGCTTGTGTGTGAAAAGCCACTGAAGAATTTTGAACAGGGAAATGAACAGGAGAATCTGATTGGTATTTTAGAAAGTCACTGGAAACAGTGTAGAGTTAGATGAGTAGGACTTGGTAATTGATTGAAATGCCAGGGATAGTGACTTCCTGGGTTTTGGCTTGAACAACTGGGTTAACAGTGATACTGTTCACCAAACTATGAAATTGGGGAGAGGAGAGCAGTGAATTTTTTTTGAGAGGATGGCTAGAATTTAAAAATATATAATTATCTTAGTGCCCAGAAATAGTTTACTTGTATCACTTAATATAATTTTTAATATTACACTTAATTACAGACATACTAAATGTTCCTTTAAGGTCCTTATATTCCTTTACAAATGGACATATATACTGCCGAATGGAAGGACCATGGCATCTCTTAGTATTGTGAGTTTGTAAGTAGACCAGTGAGAATAAAGAATATTCTTCATAGTATAGTGAAACCAAGGAAATATAAAGAAATGATTTGAAATCTAGAGCCTTCCACAGTTTCAAACATACGTAAAAAACCTGTATTTTCGAGAAAAAAGAAAAAGGTAAGTTGGGAAAAATGCTCCTAAATTTGTTGGGGCTGACTTTTACTTCTGAGATTGTTGTTGAATTGGTTTTGTTTTCTGATTTATGTAACGTGAGTAGACTTTACTTCTTTGGATCTTTTAAAAAAATCATTATGAACTAAAGTGTTTGTATGCAGATAAGCTTATCTGTACATTCATGCTTTAGTTGATTTCCTGATTTAATGTGTTCCCATGATGCTGAAGCCAACAAAACAGAAGGAGAAAAGCAGATTATATTTGTCCTTGTGGCATTTGGGATATGGCAAGATCTTAGACCAGTGCTAACCCATTAGAATTATTTAATGTGGACCGTGAATGTAAACCACATAGGTAATTCTAAATTCTTTAGAAATCACTTTAAAAAATACAAAAATAAACAAATGAAGTTAATTTTTGTTTTATTTATTGCAGTATATCCAAAATAGTATCATTTCAACATATAATCAGTGTAAAAATAATAGACCTTTTGCATTTTTTTGTACCAAGTGTTTGAAATCCAAGTGTATTTTATATGCACAGCACATCTCAGTTTAGACTAACTACGCTTCAAGTGCTTGATAGCTACTTGTGACTAATTGGACAGTACAGTCCTAGATCATTCTTAAACTAAAGAGTAGAGGTTGCTCAGCATTCTGCAACACTTGAGAGTATCTTTCCAACATGGAGTAATTTATATGCTGCTTGTTTCATTTTCCTGTCAAGTATATTAAAGAATTTCTTCTTTTGTCCTCTAATTTCCCTGCTTACAGAAATTTTATCCAATAAATATCTGCCTATCAATATTAATTGCCTTTGCTTTCTCTTACACATTTATAGTATTGTCCTATTATGCCAAACAAAAGCATATCTTTAAATTTTAGTGATTTTGTTTCAATTACAAGAATACTACATGTTCTTTTTGTAACAGATTTAAACAATACTGTAGCATATGTTGTATAAAAAGATAATAATTCTTTATAACTTTTTCCTCTTTCAGTTCCCGCTCTCCCAGTTATAATCAGTGTTAGCGATTTAGGTAATAGTTTTTTCCTTGTTAGGAATATACACTTAAGATAAATTCCTAATTGAGAAAATTTGTATTTGGAAAATATCTCTTAAAAGTAAAGCTATTAAAAATAGAGATAAAATTTATTCATTATTAATGAAAAAGATTCGTTAGGGACAGTATTCAGAAAGGAAAACATTTTACTATGTATGTATTATTTTACTGAATGTTTATCAAAATTTAAATTGTAGTTGCAGCTATGCTAATTCTCAGAATTAACAAAGAATGATGTGATATTTTCTTGGCATAATTTTTCCAGTAAAATTGTATAATTGTATGATAGCTTCCTTCATTTTGTGTTTGATTTTTCTAGCATTTCTTATATAAACTAGCCTTCTACATCAGCTTTATCAAAACTCTTGAGGGTTTCACCGGTTTCTCAAGATATTTTCTTAGCCCTTTAACATTGTCTTTCTCAATTCTTATTCTTTCCTCATCCTTCTTTAGTTGTTGAGTGAATTGTCCTATCTTTAGTTGTTGAGTGGTTTGATTCTGCCAGAATCAAAGGGTTTTAAAGCTGTGAGATGAGCACTTTCTTTAATATTATTTTCATAGACTTCATGAAATGCTCCATTCATTTGAAGGTTTGTATTTTCACATTACTGTTGAGTTGCATTGTATTTACCTTGTATGATTGGGTATTTACAGCATTAGGCTATGAGTGAGAAATAAATAAACAAAACCAGGATACATGGTTACAGTAGGTGTTGCTGTCTAGGAGAAACAGATATCAGGGGACATTATGAATACTAGTGTATCATAAGGGCCTTAATTCCCTCTGCAAACTTGTAACTTAAGGGATTCAATGTCTATTTAAGTAACAATAGCTAACTTTTATGGAGACTTTTACCATGCCTAGCAAATTTCTGTACATGCATCTTTTTAGGTTATCTGCTCAATGTGACTATAAGTCTGTTATTATCCCCATTTTATGCTTTAAGTAAACTGAGGCTTAGAGCAGTAACCTTTGTGTTATAGAATTCCCACAGATAAAGCCCCACCAGAGTTGAGCTCACTACCCAAAATTTAAGGATGAGATAAATTGATGTCTGGGACTTATTTTAAAATAATTCAGATGTTCATGGGTAAAATGAATAAACGTTGGCCATTGTTTGAAGCTGGATGATGAGTTTTGTAATACAAATAAAAACAGCAACAACAAAAACTTTGGAATATAGCCAATTGAGTCACTATCCCAAGAAGCTAATAAAAGACAAATAGAATAATCCTGAAGAAATTTGAAAGAAGGAGAAAATAAAGATGAGAGCAGAAATTAATGAAATAGAAAAATTGTGAACAGAGACAATCTATAAAACCAAAATCTGACCCATTGAAGAGTTATAAAATAGATCTCTGTTGGGACTGCTCAACACAAAAGTAAGAAAGGACAAATAAATAATATTAAGCACAAAAAGGGGGACAATATAGCAGAGACAAAGCAACAACAAGAAAGTACTGTGAATAATTTTTATATCAATACATTTGAAAACCTAGGTCAAAGGTAGATTTTCTAGAAGAAAGAGAAACTGGAATAGACATTTAACATTAAAGAAAATGAGTCATTTTTAAACATCTTCACCAAAAAGTATGAGTCCTAGACAGTGCTACCGAGGAACTCTACCAATAGTAAGCCCACCCAGCCTTATTTTATAAATCTTTAATTTACATAATGTATCTTGCAGTAATCTTGGTAACCCAATCATGCAACTCCTACTACTGGGAGGGAAACTCATAAACCAGTTTCACTTGAATATACATGCAAAACCCTCAATATTGACAAGCCAAATGAACAATCAGGCATTAGTCCTGACATGAAATCTTCCATATTTTTCCATTGATTTGAAGTAACACATTTATTGTAAAATGAATTCCATATAGATGTGGGTCCATTTGCGGGGGTATACTTGAATGCTTAATCTGTCATCTTGAATTAAAAGCCTGCCTGTTGAATCTTAACATTCAAGATATTTGCATTGGCATTTAAATGTATGAGAATTATAATGGTCTGGTAGCGTATGCTTTATATAAATATCTTTCTGTTGCATAGTTTTTTGCATATCATTTGAAGAGGATGCCAGGATTAGAACTCAATATACTGAATACCTCATTTGAGACATTTTTTAATTCCAAAGAATATATCATCATTCAAACAAATTTAAGTTGATACAACTTAAAGATATTATTCAGAAAATAGATCTGAAATAAATATATTGTCTAAATGTTTTCCACAAAAATATTTTCCTTCCATACCTTCCCATGTGCCTTGCCGCCTTCCCTAAGGAATTGGAGATAACTTTATAAAGGGACAGAGAAACAAATATTACCAGACACCTGAGATGGATTAGTCACTGCATTTGAACACCAAACTTAATTCTGTGTTTTCTAGAAAAGAAAGCAGAATGGGACATATTATGTTGTGTCTGGTAAAGAAACTATATGACTTTGAGAGACATGCTTTTTTTTCTTTGTTTTATAAGTGAGATACTGGAAAGACGATAGTTGCCTTCACCTTTGTTTTTGCAAAAGTTAGGAAATGTTTTTCGAATGGATATTTTCTGTATTGACCAATGACTATGCAAGATGAGATTTTTTTTTTTTTTTTAAGAGCTGGGGTCTCACTACATTGCCCAAGCTGAAGTGTTGTGGTTGTTCATCCACAGGCACAGTCATAGCACACTGCAGCCTTGAACTCCTGGCCTCAAGCTGTCCTGTCACCTCAGCCTTCCAAGTAGCTCAGATTACAGGCCCATGCGTGTGGCTGAGATTTTAACATTGTATCTTAATTTAGGGAATCTTAGCATCTGTAGTGAGCTAATATAAATGGTTCACTTTTGCTTTCAGAAAAATCCCTGATTGGTAAATATGGAGGGGCTGCTCAAGGTGGAAAATCATCGGTTTGTAGCCATGACAGTAAAAATTGAATCCGATAAGAATAAAAAAGAATAATCAGATTCAGCATTTAGGATGCTGCCAATAGCAGGAGGTTTTGATGAGGAAGCAGAATATTTACATGCTTTTAAAATGCTACACTGCTTATTAATTGCAAGGGAGAAAATACATAGTAATTATACAGTAGAGAAATTAGACAATACTTGGACTGGATGATCAAAGTTAAGGGCATTACTGAAGGACAGGAGAAGATCATGTGCCTCAAGATGTGATACACTGAGGACACATCACCACCATGAAGTGTTCTGGCTGAAAATGTGTAACCTCAGTCTAATCTTGGGAACACATCAGACAGATCTTCTATGAGGAGCATTCTCTTAAAAAATGGGGTGGGGAGGGGAACTGTTCTCCCAAAATGTCAACATCATAAATGACAGTTTTTACTGTGAGCATGTTCTAGAATGTCAGAGGCTAAAGATACCTGGCAATTAAAGGCACTACCTGACCCTAACTGGATCCTGTGTGGAAAGGGAGATACTCTATAAAGAACATTGCAAGATCACTTGACAAAATTGGAATACTTATGTTAAATGAAAGTATTATATCAGTGTTAAATATGCTGACATAACTATTTATAGGAATATATTATACTTTGAAGGATTTAGGGCAAAGGGCCATAATGTCTGTAATTTGTCCTCAAAAATGTTCAGGAAAGAAACCGCGTGTGTGTGTATGTTTGTGTAAAGAGAGGAAGAGGAGGAGGAATATGCGTGATTGCAAATGATAAAACAATTGATAAAATATTAACCATATATGAATATGACTAAACAGTGTAAGGTCACTATTTGTATTATTTTTACTTTTATAACTTATCTATAGATATGAAATTATTCCCAAATCAAATTTTAAGACAATATATATACTTTAGCTATGGTGCATCCTGATGAACTAACAGAGAATTTGTTCTAGAAGAATGAATAGTTAGTATGCCCATTAGGCAGTTTCTCTCAAATATCAGATGTCTCATGTGAGCCTTTGGTAAATACTGGATTAAATCAATTCATGGTTGAATTACCACAGTGAGTGCCTTAAGCGCCAATACTCAGTTGTTGATTGAAGAGGGATCCATATGTTTTAGATACCAAATATGGGACAAACAGCGTTGATGTTCTGTTGTGAAAATATAAAAGCTCGATTTATGTTGTGCTTGTTCAGTTTCTCATGAAGATGGATCAGAGAGGTACTTAAAGGAAGTTACCTGTATTTTCTCTCAGGGAGCCTTGGAAACTGTAGAAGCAATTGGACAGGTGCTCAGGTATGATCCCAATGTTCAAAAGTATAATATAGAAAAAAATGATTTGGCCTAAAATATTTAAAAGACATGTGTTAGTAATTTGGACTAACCTCCACTATGGACTGACCTCCACTATGAAGGAATCTGAATTTTTATTCCCTTTAGAAAGTGATTTTTGAACAGAAGTGCATGCTGATGGCCCTTCTAGGACAAATTAGCTGCAAAATGCACCCCCAAATAATGGATTCTATCCAGTTAAGAAGGAAATTAGATGGATAAAAAGCACTTAGAAAATCGTGGAAAAGTTAAAACTGTTAATAAAGAGAAAATATCAACTGGGCACGGTGGCTCACACCTGTAATCCTAGCACTTTGGGAGGCCAAGTGGGTGGATCACCTGACATCGGGAGTTCGAGACCAGTCTGACCAACATGGAGAAACCCCATCACTACTAAAAATACAAAATTAGTTGGACGTGGTAGTGCATGCCTGTTATCCCAGCTACTCAGGAGGCTGAGGCAGGAGAATTCGCTTGAACCCAGGAGGTGGAGGTTGTGGTTAGCTGAGATCCCACCATTGCACTCCAGACTGGGCAACAAGAGCAAAACTCTGTCTCAAAAAGAAAAAAAGAGAGAGAAAATATCAAGTACTATTAGTAAATAGCAGGGTAGGAAAATCTTAATCCAAGGCACATTTAAAAAAATTGTGTATGGCAGGCAGCCCCACTCCCAATGTGAAAAGCCTTCCATGCCGATAGTTGCAAAAGAAATTCATAAAAATGCAACAAGGCTTTAAATTAGATTGGCAATGTAGTGTTCTCCTTTTTTCCACGGTTTTGCTTTCCGTGGTTTCAGTTCCTGTGATCATCCATGGTATGAAAATATTACATACTATAAAATACTTTGAGAGACCACACTCACATAATATTTTTATATAAAATATATATGTAAATTTATATATTTTATGTAACAATATTATATACTGTTATACTTGTTTTATTTAATTAATTATTGTTCATCTCTTTCTCTGCTTAATTTATAAATTAAAATTTATCATAGGTATGTATGTGTAGTAAAAGACAGTATATATGGAGTTTGGTACTATCCATGGTCCAGGCATCCATTGGGGATCTTGGTACATATCCCCTGCAGATAAGAGCGGGGACTACGGTATCTTGACAGTCCATAAGATGGAGACATGCCTGTGAGTTATGAAAGAATGGGCATAGTGGTGGATTGGAGTGTCTGCTATGGGCCTGAGAGCTGACTGTCAAAATTTTTGGAATTCTGCAAACTGATTATTAAACACAGCTATTATTAAAAATTAAGGTACATAGGCTTACTGTTAAAATTACAGTTTTACAAAGCTAATAAATACTTCACACTCATCAGTTGCTAATTATTTTACTACATTTTATTATGATCTGTGCTTTTGAAGTTATTTATGTGTATCGTACCTCTGGTTGAAATACTATAATGGTGTGTGCTTTTTGTACACTTTTTACCAACTTTGGTGATGTCACAGTGATAACTAGAAATTAGCTATGGCAAAAAAATTTACAGAGATTGCCAAATGCCATAAATAGGGTTTGATTTATTATTTCTTGATTGTCTAGACTTAAAGTGATGGAGAAAATGCTGCTAATGAAATGTATCATGTCTTTAGCTATTGTAACAAAAAAGTACATGTTCTTCCATTATTAAAAAATTATTCAACTAAGAAGTCACTCACATCATTGACATCAATGACATAAAGAAAAACATCAAGTAATACTCTGAAGTACACTTGGAAAGCTGATTGCTGAATATTAGCCAGCACACTGCTGCTGGTCATGGCACAGTCAAAATCACTGCTTTGGTAGGAAATAGATAATATAAATGTATTATGCTGATTTTCCCCTTTAGGAAGTAGTATTATGACTATTATGTGAGCATTAAGAAAAAAGGTTGAATTTTAAAAGTCATTAACTTTGGCACATGATAATTTTAAAAGTAGATAATTTGAAGCCTTTGATAGGTGTGTTGCAGATTAGAAATAGAATCATAGAATTTAGAGTTTCTCTAGTATATGTCAGTCATCCAGCCTTTATCTAAATTTTTCTAGAGACAGAGCACATTTCCTGATAATAACATTGGAGAACTCTAGAAGTAGAGTTCTTTCTTATATTTAGCTAAATTTTGTTTTCCTTTAATTTCTGACAACTGATTCTAGTACTGACTTCTGGAGAAACATAGAAACATAAGCAAGAAATTTTATCACTTTTATAGAGCAACCAATCTTTCATGTATAAAGGTAGCCATGATTTTTCATTTAGAACTCTTTGGGCAAGAGTTATACCTTTAGTTCTTTTAGCTCTACATTGTGTGATGTATTTTCTAGACTCTGTAATCTAAGAGTGTGTTGCCTTTTTAAACATCACGTCACGATTTTGGGGCTTTTATTGACCTTGTGAACGAAATAAAAGCCTTTAGATTTTTCTTTGTGCAAATTGTACAGAAGTCATGTCTTCTGCCTTTTGTTTGATTCTTTAAAAAAAAAACTCCAAAACATCCTTATATTTACTGTTTTATACTTTCATATTGCTTTCAGCACAGCATTTCAGATTATAGAAATGATTTTGAATTTTAATTTTATAATTTTTGGTATTCCATCAGTTTTGTGTCAGTTGCAGTTTTGATAAGCACTCAATATTTATTGTTTACATCTAAATTATTGTATAAAATGTTGAATTTCAAAAGCCTATATAATCCTCCTTTAAATAATCTCTAAATTTATCTCCACCCAATATTATTATTTTTTGTTGTTTAATCTTTTGTGAGTCCATTTATCAGTTCTGCTAAGTAATCCGCATTTCATCATTTTATATCCAGAAGTTCATTATGATATATTTTGTCAGATGTTTTACTTACTGTAATCAAGATGTACTGTGTCTCTGGTATCCCTTCCTATGAAACACAATTTAGTACCTCTGTCTTTGAAAATTAGGTATTTTTTGAAAAATCCTGGCATGACTAAATGTTAAGGTCATATTATTCCACAAATGGAAGACATAAAATACATGAAGAACATTGGACTAGATATTAACTAAGATATAAAAAGAGAAAAGGAAGAAAATCATCCCTGGAGATATTTGACGATCAAGGCCACGGTGTTACTTGGACTGAAAGGAAAATAACCTGTGCCATGAAAATAGAGCTTTTTCACTGAGGAAGTATTCTGGACCAGGTGAAATTTTAGGGATCTGGAATGGAGTGGACAGGATTCGTTAGCCTTTTCCTCTCTGCTTTCTCATTATCTTCTTCTTTTGAAATGTATGTTGTGAAATATTAACAGTGGGTGCATCTGCATGTATGTGGGTGTTTCTGTGTTGTGTATAGAACCTCCTTATTCTCTTTGCCCTGGACAAAGGTATCCCTATTTCATTGAATTATTTTGAAAATTAAAAGAATAACTTGGGCTGGGCATGGTGGCCCACTCCTGTAATCCCAGCACTTTGGGAGGCTGAGACGGCCGGCTCACCTGATGTTGGGAGTTCGAGACCAGCCTCACCAACATGGAGAAACCTTGTCTGTACTAAAAATACAAAATTAGCCAGGCGTGGTAGCACATGCCTGTAATCCCAGCTACTTGGGAGGCTGAAGCAGTAGAATCACTTGAACCCAGGAGGTGGAGGTTGCAGTGAGCCAAGATCGTGCCATTGCACTCCAGCCTGGGCAACAAGAGTGAAACTCTGTCTCCAAAAAAAAATAATAATAATAATAAATAACTCAATATGAAATTCCCTAGCACATTTTCTTGTATTTAGTAGATAGTAGATAAAGGTTCGTTTAACTTTTGTTAAATTTCTTGTTAAATTCCATTGAGCAACCATGATGGAGGTTGTCAGGAAGTAACTAGAGTGAATTGTCTCGTCACAATTTCCTTGGTCTTCTACCCTTCTTCATCCTACCCAGTTCTGTTTTATTACTGCTGGAAGCAAGGAAAATTCATGGCAAGTCACTTGACTAAATGGTATTGATAGAATAATACTTTTCTCTTTTTCACTACTTTCTCTTTTCTAAAAAATATTAGATCAAAAGCAACATCTTCTAGAAAGCATTCTCTGAAAAGTCATTTCGTTTTTTAGACAACAGTCTAGTCACTCTTAAAATCATTTTATGTGTGTATATATTTATGTTGGACAATAAAAAATAAAATAAAACGGCACAGTGGCTAATGCCTTTAATCCCAGCACTTTGGGAGGCTGAGGAGGGTAGATTGCCTTCAGCTCAGTCTGGGCTTGAGACCAGCCTGGGCAACAGGGTGAAACTCTGTCTCTACCAGAAATTTTAAAAAACCCGAAACAAAAAAACAGAGCCAGGCATAATGGCGTGTGTCTGTGATCCCAGCTACCCAGGAGGCAAAGGTGGAGGGATCACTTGAGCCTCAGAGGGCAGAGGTCATAGTGAGCTGAGATGGGGCCACAGCACTCCAGCCTGGGTGACAGAGTGAGACTCTGTCTCAAAAACGAAAAAGGAAATATTTTGTCCCAATACATTGTAATTAGTGTCTGATAAATAAATCATTCTCTTGCAGATTGTGGTGGTGCCATGCAGCAAGAAGCAGAGAGGTGCAGAGTTCGAGCCAGAAGGCCTGACATGGCACTTTATATACCAAAAGCTCGAAGGGGTGCAGTACTCCTTAAGACAGGTGATCAAGAAGAAAGCTGTGGTTCACCTAACTCTGTGGTGAAAGGAAAGCAAAAAGAAAGTTCTCTCTCCCAAAAAGAAGTCTTTAGAGACAAACCAGAGGCTCCAAGAGTAAGTGTCAATCCTGACAGAAAGGAACATACCTGTAGAGAAGGAAAGAAATCTTCAACAAAATTAAGAAAGGATACCTGCCTTCGAAAAACAAATAGCATTTGTTCTAAGAGAGGAACCACTGAATCCAAAGAAGTATTATCCCAGGGACATCAGCAGGGAGCCCCAAATGCTGGGGCTATACCTAATGCATCTTTACAGAGACATTTTAAACCAAAGAAGGGGGAGTGTTTGGAAGTTGAAACTACAGATGTGACAGGGCATGGGAGTATACTTCTATCACAGGCCTGTTCAGAAATCAGTGAGGCTCAGTTTCCAAGCAAACCATTCCAAAATGTGGAATTCCATGACTTCGATAGGCATGAACCTGATGGGGAAACATTTGAAGACAAAGATTTGGAAAGCAGAATTGAAACCGATGCCAAGGTGTTAGAGATACTGTCTGAGTTTCCTAGAGTTTTTAGTTCTGTAATGAAACCTGAGAATATGATTGCACCAACTAAACTAAGTGCTGATTCTGGAATTGTACAACAAGGCATGCAAACATCAGATGGAATATTGAAGCCCAGCAGTGGAGGCATCACCACTACTTCTGTTCCTGGAAGTCCAGATGGTGTCTTTGATCAAACTTGCATAGATTTTGAAGCTGAGAATGTAGGTGGTATAGCCAGTAGTACAGGTTTCATCTTAGATCAGAAAGATACAGATTCCATTTCTGAAACTGTGGGTCACGTCTCTCATAAAATGACTACAGTCAGCAAATTAGAGAGCACAAATGACACTGTTAGTCCAGTAATGATTAGAGAATGTGAGAAGAATGACAGCACTGCTGATGAGTTACATGTGAAGCATGAACCTCCTGATGCAGTTGTCCTTGCTCATGAAACACGTAGGGACAATGGGTTTAAGAATGTAGCTGACATTACCAATAAAGCATGTATGATGGACACTACAGGTATGTCCTGTAGTGATCATGTAACTGTTGACATCCCTTATGTAGTTGCAGTTAGAATAGCTGATGAGACCTCCAATAATAAACATAATTTCTCAAAGTTTATAGGAATGAGTGCAGAGGCAACCCCTCTTCATGTAGCTAGAAGTGGGAATGATACTGAAAATTTCAGCAACCTGACTGCTTGCTCAGATATTTATGCTGAGAGTATTTCATCTCGTTTTACAGAGTCAACAGGAAAGTTGATAGAGAGCTTGTCAGATTGTGCTTCCTCCTTACCTATAAAAAAGATTGCTGGTAGTGATTATAAAACTTTTTTGGACTCTGAACTCAGTATGTTAAATGGGACAAAAGTACTTTCCGACAGTACCATGGGCAGTGATCTGGGTAGTACTGGTGATACAACAGAAGCATTGCATGAAGTAAGAACTGCTGAAGAGTTCAAAACAAAAGAGCAAGATGACTCAGAGGATATAGAATTTGGTATATCTACTACTAATAGGGAATCATTATCTATGGAAACATCCATTGAACCAAAAGCAACCGAAACTTCTCACACAGAGGGAAGTACTGCGACTGAGGAGAGCTGGGAGTCTATGTTTAATGATGATGGTGACTGCCTGGATCCACGTCTTCTGCAAGAGGTATGTTTAATTGAAATTACTTGATGCTTAAGACAATTTACAGATCAGTGGTAATTTTGATAGACATTGATGCACATTCACTGATACTTAAGAGTATCCAGCAATAAACTAATAGGCTTGTACATTGAGAAAATAATATATGACAGATCTTTAAAAAATAAAACATACACAATTGAGCTATATCTATAATAGCCAAGTCCTGAGAGATCACATTGACTAAGATGAATTTAATGGATTTTGGCTATCAGTTGAGGAAATACAAAGGAAAACTTCAAAAAGATTTTTCTGTGTTGACAAGGTATCTTTTACATGGGCCTATTTAGGGGAAAGAGAATAATTTATTACGATTGTTATTTATATTTCATTTTCTAGTGGATATTGGAATGTTAGACACTATAGAGGGAAGGGAAGTAAAGAAAGGAAGGGTAAATACAAGAAAGTATCATTGTTTTTTAAGGTGTTTATACTGGGTTAAATTGAAGAATAAATTACTATTTAGCATAAATAGAAAATAAAAGTGAATGATATGCTGGCCAGTTAGAATTCATAAATAAATGTTAGATTTGAGGCATATTAGAAATTACGCAGTTCAGTCGTCTTGTTTTCTTAATTGAAACGTTTACTCTGTATCCAACGTTTAAACTCCTTACCATAAATAAGAATCATTGGTTTTAAGTAGTAGAACCACTCCCTCTTTCATTCCCTATAGTGGGTTCACATAAACTTTGCCTAGAAGGGAACAAAATTGTTTTCCTAGAAGAGCACCAGTTTTATAAATGAAGAAGTTGAAGCTTAGTGGTCACACCTTTAGGAAAGGCAAGATTTCAATCTAGTTCTGTCTTAAGCCAATGTTCATGTTCTTTGTACGAGACCGTTTCCTCACCTAAAGGGTTTCTTTTGAGGCATTCCAAAGATCCTTTTGAACACTAAGTGATGAATCTTTTGTTTCTGAGAATTAAGCCAGAAGTATAGAAAAATTATCACATGTCTGTGAAAAAGCCACATGAGACTGAAAAGGACAGTCCATTGGACAGAACTGACTTTCCAGTACACCAGGAAATCCCACCTCGTTCTCGGGAAGTGTTTGCGCAGACCGAATTTCCCTGTACCACAAACGAGCACATCCTGTCAGGTCAGGAAACACTATATCTTAAACGTTCCTTAGAACAGAATATAGAGAAGAGTATATCTTTGAATGAGCATCCATCATGCACCCTTGAAATCACATGCAAAGTTATGAACATATTGTGCATTTTTTCATACCTTTCATCGGACCCTCAAAGGCAGCGATTTCCAAAGTATGGTCCCTAGACCAGCAGCACGAGTATCACCTGGGAACTTTTTAGAAATGCAAATCCTTTAGCCCAGCAAACCGTCTGTTTACAACTTTTTCAGGTGATTCTGATGCGTATAAAGCTTGAGAATCACTGCTCAAAGGTAATACACACACTTAAATCTATGTCAGAATGTGAGTGGGGAGCTACAGACCACTGTCAGTGACTGTCAGCCCATAATTAGAAAAATACTGTTCAGTGGATATTTGAGATCCAAATCAGGTTAAGAAATGATATTGAGGCGGGAAGTTAGGTGAATATAGAGATGTTATTAAGAATTAAAGCATTGAGAGGAGGCTTTAGTCTGAGAAAAGAAACAGTGTTCACATGAGTTGGTGAAAGGACTGCATGGGGAATAGAAAGCATATGAACATGTAGGAGAGATGAACAGCTTCCGCCGAAGGAAGAGCATGGCTCTCGTGGCCTTTTACACGTGGTGTAGTACTCCAGTAAATATTTATCCAATGGATGGAGTTGATAGGGCAGAGTTGGGAGCTCTGTGTTTGTAGGGTGGCTCCAGGGGCTTTCAAACATCAGGAGCTTGAACTTGGATTTGGTGAGGTGGCTTGTGGTTATGACTTGTGTATTGGAAGAGGGGGAGTTCAGGTGTACAACTCAGTTTTTCAGGTCTTTCCAGTGTTTACAGTAGACGTAAAAGAATTTAGGCAACAACTCAGTATTTTGAGGAGCATAGTAGTAACATAAAGAGGACGTTGGGGTGACCTAAAGCTGGGATTGAGAGGAAAACAGAGAATGTAGTATTTTAAGCTGAAGATAGACAGTGCCTGGATTATCCAAAATTGTGTTTGGATTATCTTTGGAGGTACTTGGAAGAAACTAGGGTCTGTTTTGAGGAATGAGCATATATGAGAGCAGGAAGGAGGGAAGTGGATGGAGAATGCAAGTAGCAGATCCACCTCCAAAACTGGGTTCTTCTGCCTTGGGTTTTAGAAAACGAAATAATGATGTTATTAAAAGATGATGTCACAAATCCAGTAACATTCATAGCCCTTTAATGACTTTTGGTGTATTATTTTTATTGCTCCAAACATACTTTATTAAGTGCTAAACCAGAGTGAGTACCTGCCTACCTTGAAAACTTTCCAGCGGAAGGTTTTTGGCTATTTTCCCAGCTGGCCTGTTTGTTAATTGATAACCGCTAGACATATGGAGGTATGTCTAATACTTCTAATAGTCAGGTATACCATAGAGCAAGGTGTGACAGCCATTGGCTTGTGAAGCAATTTCCTGTGACATTTGAACCTCCAAAACTGCTTCAGGGGGTTAGAGTATAAGTAGGCCATTATTGAGCTCCCAGAACTGCATCTCTTGATGAGTCTCTGAAAAGCACACTTAGTGTCCTAAAGCCATGGTATGGAATGCCTAGAAACTTAAGTTGGTAATTGATAAAGGAGACGATATTGGCATGACCTTTTTTAGTCCTCTGAATTATTGGTAGAGGAACACAAGAGTTATTGTTCACTAGAAAAAACTTTCATAGCCACTACTGCCATCTGTACTGATCAGCAAATCTATTGGTAGGAGGATTAGTGGGATGCCAGCAACATAACACTCATGTTGATAGATACCAGCATGTGTCACCTTCATTGTCATTTCTGGCCCTGATTTGAATTTTTAGTTAGGGGTAAATATTTAGGAATTTCCTAAACTTTTAAGAATTTGAGTCCTTCCTTTGGTTACAAAAGGCCACTAATATTATACAAGCATATTCCATAATACTACGTAGACCACAATGGGAAAGAGTAAAAGGAATACCATCTTTTCCCACTCATCTTCCTTCTCTGTGTGTGCTAACTTATGTTTTTATACGCTTGTCTCCCTATAGTCTTTTGTAAAATTGCTGTCCACGTTAAGTGGAAAACCCAAAATTGAAAGGAAAAATTTATAATCCAGTCACTAAAAGGAAATTATATGACATACAAAGAGAGGAAAGCCCTTCATATCCAAACCCTAGAGGCCTCATAAATAGTTGGCAGCCCATCACCTTTCAGTTAGCTGGCAAATATTGAACACTTAGAGTTTGATAAACTATAAATCCCCAATACCTAGATACATGTTGTTATCACTGCTGTGTTAAAGGCACTATGCTGCATGCCTTCCTTTGCTCAGAAGTTGTTTGTGTTTTATTTGGAGAGAGTATGTAACTTTGTGACTAGTCACATGGCAATCTGCAGCGTAATTAGTATAAAACAACCTTATAACAGATGTTTTAAAACTGTATTTCATTACCTGATAAGTGACACAGAAAATAACTTCAGGTAGGATGGGGAAAAAAGAACAAAGGGGATTAGATCCCCCCATGCTAGACTGGTTGATGCAGCTTCATGTGGGCAAGTAGAGTTAAACAAGATATTATAGTTCCCAATTTTACTATGTTGTTCTGTGTTCCTAATTTCTGTTTTCCATTCTGTTTTTTAAAAATGTATAGACTTTGTTTTTGAATAGTTTTAGATTGATTTAAAAAAATTGAACAAAGAGTTTGGAGTCCGTATGTACCCCCTTACCTGTCTAGTTCTAATTTTTTTTCCGTAGTATCTTTCATTAGTTCTAGCTCATTTTAACAGATTTATAATTCATATTTTTATAAAAATGTCTGAATTGACATGTTATTGACTGCCTAAGTGGGGATTTATAGACTCACTTTCCAGATGCTGTATATTCTAATGCTGTCAGTTGGGACATCCAGTGAAGAATCTGAATGAATTATGTACTCTGTTTTTATTGTTCAGTCCATTAGTGAATGATGACTAGATCTCAGGTCCAAACAATAAAAGAGAAAATTGAGTAGATTCCATTGCTCATAGTTTGTTTTGTTTTTGTAACCAGGTGACTCCTAAAATAAAAAATCTCCCCTCTGAGCTATGTTATACTTGTTGCATAACATGTTTTCCTCAGAATCAGCATACAAGCCAGTAGCATTTTAATTTCTGATCCCCTTTCAAAACTAAAGAAAGGTGAACAGTTCCAGGCCTGTATTGTCAGTACAAGGAAGCTTTTATTTAAGGATTCTTGTCTGAAGATTCAGAGATTCCTGGTGTACCTTGCGGTGTCCTTGACAGTGCTTGTTTCAGTGAACTCCCTGAGATACGGCATGTGGAATATGGTTGGGGCATTTTTAAATTTATCGGGGTTTATAGTAAATCATAAAATCTTAAATTGATTTTCTTCAATAGAAAATGAGTTAACAAGCAGTTAAGTGGAAGAGAAAAACAGAAATAAAGGGCTTGAATAGCCAGACCTACATAATTGAGAATTGACTATATGGGTTAATTCTGTGTAAATAGATTTTTGAAGCAACTGTAGTAATTTAACAGCACCAACTTGTGCTCAAATCTTGTTGTCCTTGTCCCTGTAACCCCCAGTGCCTCTCATTTAAATTTGTTATACCCATAACTGTAAAGTGGTTTATTATGTTTAATTGTGTTTAATTAAAAATACCCACAAAAATGTTCTTATTCCTATCTTCCAAGATGAGCCAGAATTTATATTATAGTCCTTGACATATAGGGACTCAGAACTAGAGCTTTATCCTGTCTTAGAGATAGAGCTGCACAGGTCATTTTTAAAAAGTGGAATGTTAGCATTTAAAATCATTTCTGAAAGTAAGTCTCATTAGTTTCCCAAGACTTATCAACTCCTTAAACA